CATCTGAAATGAAGGAGGAAGAAGAAGAAACGTCATCAGAATCCAATGCTGAACAAGTCAACCAAGATGATGAAAGTGGTAGGTATTTCTGACTAAGGAACCTGATGAACAAACGCCTAATGCGGACATAAAAACTTTGCCAGTAATTTGAATGCCACTTTTGAAATAACGAGCAAAATGCGTATTTTAACTAAACGTTGACGTATATTTTGTTTTCAGGTGATGGCTTTAGTCTATGGGACGACCACCATAGGCTTGTACCGGAAAGTTGGAAATCAAAAAAACGGATAAGGACTGAAGATGAACTAGGCACATTAAATACGATGCCACCGGAATTATCAATTTATTTGAAGAGCCCAGTCGTTAAGCTAACGGATTGTCCCCTGGATGTGTGGGCAGAAGGATACCACAAAAACTCTTCTTTGTTGAAAATAGCAATGAAATACTTAACAGTGATGGCAACTTCCGTGCCGTCAGAACGTGTTTTTTCCACCACGGGAAATATGGTTACCTGTAAAAGAAGTTGCTAATGGGGAGAAAAACTGGACAAACTGCTTTTTTTACAAACTGTTAATAGTAAGTTTTGGGGCTTACAGTGATATTAATGTTATTCAGTATTGTTATTTTACGACAATTATGGTATATTTACCACTATTTGATTTTTGCATCATTCATTTACTTTTCGCAAGTGTCTCATTTTTTTGTAATTAATTGAGTTAATTGACTTATGTTTTGTTGAGTTTTTGTTATTCTGCGAAATAAAAATGTACGTTTTAAAAGAATATACTGGGCGTTATGCGTAAAAAGTTTTATGCATAAATAGTCGAGTTTAAGCTCACATCACAGTACAAAACCTGAACCTGAGCCCAAGCTCACATTTTATGTATGAGGTTATATTATGTGAGAGGTATAATGCAGAAAAGTTTACTCATTTATTACACATCTTCATTAAAAAAAAAAGTCATTAAAACATCAATGTTTTACCAACATCGATATTGACCCCAGCAGAACATCGATACTTGAAACATCGATGTTAAGTGGTCGATGCCGCAGCCCTACATCAACCTGCTTCGCCTATTGTTTGCATGCAACTAAATAAAATTTGTTGCTCTTCTACTCTTTCTGTTGACGTTCGGATTGTGTAAGAAGCCGATTGTGTACATGTGAAAGGCCGAATATAGTTCGTTTCCCAGGAAAGTGTTTGGCTGGCACTGGTCGAAAGGCAGAACGTACCGGGCGCAATTGTACTGTAAGCATTTGACAAAGCTGAGAGAAGCTGTTCGTTATGTTCTCTTCTTTTGTTGTTGGTAGCAGGGTTGCCAATTTGGTAAATTGTTACCAAAATTGGTAGAAAAAATTTGGGTTGGTAAAAAGGTAAATTTTTTCTCGTTTTGGTAGCTTTTTGATGAACTTTCCGTTCCCGATTTATTTTTCGTAGTTATCTTTAAATATATTAAAAATTTCTTTGCATACTTTTTATGTTGCAATCTGGCAATATTGCATCAACATTCATTCTTTATTATCTGTCATTCTTTAAATACATACATACACTTTT